AGATTATATAAGAATATATTTTCTTAATTTTTAGCTTTCCTAATAAAATTATTTCTAATTAAGAAATAGTATTTATTAGCTAGTTCTAGTTTACTTTCTATTTCTATTTAATATATAAATAATATTTAAATATAGCTTATTATTTTTAGATAAATAATTAGATAAAAAGATAAAATTAGGCTCTAGAATACTATCTAAAATATTATTATAATACCTAAAAAAAAATAACTAGTTTAAAAAGTTATCTTTTATAAAATTTATATATAATAACTTAAAATATTAGATTTTATAAAATATATCTTTTTATATATATTATAGATATTACTTTTAACTTTTATAAAATTCTGAGAATAGAATTATAAAGAAAGTACTAGAAATTCTTAAAATAAAGTAAAAAAAGCTTAAGAATTTATAATATTATATATAAAATAACTAGGAAATCTATTATAATAAGTACTAGTTAGCTAAATATTATTTTAAAAAAGCCTAGGTAATATTATTAATAAAGAATATTAAACTTAAAATAGGAAAGCTTAAGCTAAAATTTATAGATCTATTTAAGATTCTTAAATATATTAGTAATTTAGAATATAAGTTAGAATTACTAAATATATATAAATATTTATATCTAATTTTCTATATTTCTTTTCTTAAAAAATATATAATAAAAAAAAGTTAGAAGCTATATTTATACTTTTCTAGAGAATTTCCGGAATTAGTAAATAATAATAAAAAATAATAATAGAAAATAGAAACTATTATTAATTATTAATAAGATAATAGAAGTAAGAAGTAATAATATTTAATTAAATAGAAAGCCTAGCCTAAAGATTATAATATCTAATTATTTACTTTTCCTAATCTTAAAAATTCTAAGAAATTTCTGAAATTATATAACTAAAATTATAGCTTAAAATCCGAAACTATTTTTTAATAATTTTTTAAAATTAAAATAAATTCTGAACTACTAAGAAAAAGGCTACTTAAAAGAAAGAAAAAACCTAAATAGCTAAGAAAAAGCCCGGAATAATAATAGAAATACTTTTTTCTTAGGTTTTTTTATTTATAAAAGTTTTCTAGGGTTTTATTAAAGCTTATAAGAATTATATTTAAATTATTAAAAAAAAGTTTAGGATTAAGAAAGATTTATTATAAGTAAACTAGTTATAAGTATCTCAAATAAATAAATTCTAATTCCTATAAATTTCTAATTCCTAAAATAAGAATATTAAATACTAGCCCTATTTAGGACTTAGTAAAAAATTAGCTAATACTTTCCGGAAGTTGCTTATCTCTTAATAAAATATAATTATACTATAATAATATTAGTATTAAGAATATTAAGAGAAATAAATAAGAAACTTATAATAGCTATATATATTTTATAAAAGGCCCGAACTTCTAAAATTAGGTCTCAAATAGCTATAAATATTATATTATTAATATTTAAAGTACTAGTAATAAATTACTTAGTAATCTTAATAATAAGCTTAGTAATAAGATTAATATCTTAAAAGTAAATATTATAGTATTTCTTTAAGAAATTAGTAAGTATTTAAATATATTAGAAAAAACTTATTTTTGGGATACTAACTCAAGTAATATTATTATTTGCCTTATTAAAATAGAAAGAAAATTTCCGAAGCTTATTAGTATTCTTCTAGTTTTTAAAAACCTAATTAATAGTATTATTCTTATTAGTATAATATTATTTAGGATATACTTTAAGAAATTTCTTAAAAATTATAATAATATTTTTCTAGAACTAATAAGCCTCTAATAAGTAATAAGAAATCTGAAATTATATTAGCTTTAATAAATATTAAAGCTAAAGAATTTACTAATATATAAGATTCAGAATTCTTATTATAATAGTTATAATTCTTCTTACTAGATATTATAGTATATAAGATAAAGAGATTAATAAGTAAATACTTAAAATATTATAAAAATAATTAAAAATAATTTAAAAATAATTAAAAATAATTTAAAGAAAAGTAAAAGAAAAGGCTAGAAAATAATAATAATAAAAGTTATTATATATATAATTATTAGAAAGAAAAAGAATATATAGTAATATAAAGAAGTTCTTTTATAGAAATAAAGAACTACCTGGATTAATTACTAGTTTTCGTACTAGTTCTAATTAGAAATTAGTATAACTAATTAATATATATTTCTAGAAGCCTATAAATAATTTCTAGGACCTTAGAAATATTTATATGGGTTTCTTATAAGAATATTTATTAAATTCTTTTTATATAGCTATTTAGGTTATTCTAATATAAGATCTAATAAGTAATATTAATTTTATAGAATAATACTTTAGTATTTTAGATTAAGCTAATTAAAATACTTAAACCCTAAATAAAATTATAATTACTAGCTAGCTCTTATATCTAGGATAAAATTACTTTTTCTTCTTACTTATTTAGTCCTAATCTAATTAGATAATTTTTATATCTATTATCTAGATTATATTAGTAAAACTATTTCCTAAGATACTAGAAGTTTATCTCAATTAAATAATTAATTAATTAATTATTTACTAGAATAAATTAATAGATTTTAGAAATAAGATCCTAGGAAGAAAATATAGTTATAATATATATAGGGTTATATATAACTTAAGGGCATATAATAAACCTCGGATATTACGAGTATTAATTAGGGAAATTAGTAGTTCTTTAACTTTATAACTAACTACTATTTATATTATAAGTATTAGGCTTATAAATTACTAATTATATATATGTTATCGGGGCCTCCTATTTAGAGAGGGCTTTTCTGGACCTTATAAGAGAAATAGAAATTAGTTCTATACTAAATTTAATACTATAATTTCATAACTTACTAATTTATTCTATTATCTTATTACTTACTAATAAATACCTTATAATAAGCCGCATACATATATACTAATACATATTATAAATTAAGTATTATTTCCTTATTTTCTAGTTCTTTATATATTATTAATTCTTTTATTTTCCTTTTTAAAAACTTTATTATTTCTTATATAATAAGGCTAAATATCTTGTTTTTTTTAGCTTTACTTAATAATTTATTTTTAATTTCTTTATTTTTATATAAATTATTTATAAATTATTATTAGAATAGCTATCTTATAAATTTCCTAGTTATATAACTAGTTATATAAGCTCGCGTTATATACGTAACTCGACTAGTAAACTAGTTCTAATTAGTCTTAATAGATTTAGAAATTATATATTAATATTATAATATTATAATTCTTATTTTAAAAAGAACTATTTTATTAACTTATATATTAAGTATTTTATATATATTATATAATAGTACTATATATTACTAGTAAACTAATAATTATTTTTATATAATTATTTTTAAAATAATAAAAGCTTATAATAAATATTAAATAAACTTTTTATTATAAAAAACCGTCTTTTTCATAATTCTTTTAATTTTTTTTTTTTAATAATAATTTTAATATCTTTTCTTAAATATTTATATTTCTTAAATATTTATATTTCTTAAATATTTATATTTCTTAAATATTTATATTTCTTAAATATTATATTTATATTCTTTAATAATAATAAGTTTATAAAAATTAATATATAAGCTTATAATTAAAAATAGTATTATTTAGCTAAATATATAATAAGTATATCTTAAATTATTATTTCAATTATTAATTATTTTAAAAAGTTTTATTTTTTAATACTTGTAATAAAAATACTAATAAACTTATTAATAATAATTATATTTATTCTTATATTTAATAAATATTACTAATATTATTATTTTAATTCTAGTTATAGTAAATATCTTTAAAAATATAATTCTTATAAATAATTCTTTTATATAATTTGCCTTTTTCTAATCTTATTTAAATTCAAATACTAATAATAATAAATACTAATTAAAAAGATAAGCTTTTAGCTTTTTAGCTTTCTAAGAAGTTTTTTTTTCACTAAGTTTTAGCTTTTATAAAAATATAAAAATAGCAAGTATTATAAATAGTATTATTTTATATAAAATAAATATATTAAAGTATTTTCTTATTTATTATTTTTAAAAGAAGCTAGTATTAATAAGAAAATTACTAATTTATTATTAAGCTTTAAAATAATAATACTTATTAATTTTATATTTTCTTTCTTTTTTTCTGATATTTATTAATTAATAATATAATATTTTCTTTTTATTATTTAATAATATTTAAACTTTAATTACTTATCTAAGAATTTCTAAAACTAGATATAATAGTATAAAGAATTTAATAAAAAGTTAAATAGATTAATAGTAATTAAAATTATTACTTTATTTAAAAATCTTAAAAGCTAAGTATAACGTGTAATGTGCAAATGCGCAATGTTAAGCTTTTCGGGGTTATGTTACTACAGGCGTTATAGGCTCGATACAAAGCGATCAAAGCAATCAAAGCGACAAAACACGACCTCAGCTCTCCGTAATGCAGTGCAAACTTTCTTCTTGGATTTTACAACATTGAAAATTTGATGGAAACACCAATTTCCGGGAAATATGTTGGCTTGAATAATAGTAATTCACGTGGAAAGCAATGACACCTTCTGTTATGTGGCACCAGTCACGTGGTGCCACTGCACGTGACTTAGCGTGTAGCTAGTGCTTTTAGCCCGGCACACAGCCTTCAGCTCAATTCAAGCTCTTTACCACCACTGCAATATCACCTTATCGTGACACCTTCGAGATGAACATTAGGTATGAGTTTGAATTTCCATGCCTACAGATTGCTGTCACATCCGGTTTTGTGATTAAAAGCCCATTATTATCCCTATTCCGAATTTTTTATTTATACTGCCATCAGTATAGCGGGCGCACTAACCAAGGGCCACCCCGCAACTTTTCGATCGTTTTAGGGAAAGGAAATATGTTAAGTTCAATAAAGAATCACTGGTAGAACGAGTCAGTGCATGCTGTAAAGACACCCCATCAAGATAGGGAAAATGCATACTTTTGCAATCGTCTTACTTCACCTATGACACGGTGATAGACGAACTCCCGCTACTCTGGTAACCCTCAGTGGCAACAATTTGATAATTGTATGTGCCAAGGTTCATCCCCAATTTTGCCCAAGCGTTGAAGTGAGTTGCCGTCGTCACAGTACCTCCCACCCTCTTCGAAGTGCGTATAGACCAGTACTGATTGAACGTCGCAGTTCCAATGATAGAAGGTGCATTGGTGCGAGTTGACTCATAAATATTGTATGTTCCACCATCGGACGTAACAGTGCCTTTGAAGGTTACGGCAGAACCAGGGTTGTACGTGCCATAAGACTCTACGATGTAGTATTCGACGAGGGGGCCGGTGCTCCACCCATAGACTGAGAGATAGCCGTTTCCACTTGGATTGAAGGTACCGGAATAGTTGATCGTACGAGCACTGCCTGGATTCCAGCCTTTGCCAGCGACAAAGTTGCCGCAATTTACCCAGGAAACTGTGTAAGAGCCGCTGGCACCATTTGCGTAGTTGACGGTTCCGCCGCCGTCAGTGTAGAAGGAATAGAAGTAACCATTTGATGTGCCTTGGCCACTGGGGGTGCCAGCACGCTCGACAAGCTCGGTGGCATTGAACTCAAGTGGAAAGGAGAGAACATTTAAAGCGACGGTGGCGCAGAGGAGGAGTATTGAATTAAAGGAGACCATAGTTGCGGTGGGTCTATGAACCTGATCCTGGATGAGGGCTGTTGACGGGGTGTTCGACTTCCTATTCTCTCCCAATGTCAAGCCGGAATAGCTCACTGGTTTTATATTTTTTTCTTGGTCCGGATTAATCACTTCCCCTCAACAGTGTCTTGTCTTAATCCACTCCGAGATATCCATAACATAACTGTTAAGAGGCCCCTCTTTTTGTCCTCCAGGACTGGTTCGGGCTTACCATTTCGAAACTGGCCCCTGTAGCCAGGAGTCACATCCCATGACCCAGTCATAACAGAATTGTTCAGATCAACAAGCCTTTTGTCCGATACTGTCAGACAAAATTATGATGGCCTGTGTTGCGTTCGTTACCTGTTTTCTCTGACGAATGATCTGATGAAAATGGAGTCGATTAGCCTGAATACCATGTGGAAGCCAGAGGGTGGCAGTGGAGGTTGCAAGATCTAGTCCTAGATCGTTCAAGCTCCATCGACTTCGAGAGGGGAAACGGAAAAAACGGGAGACGCCCCGATTCAAGGTTTAAGTGCCGGGAACTTGATCTCGCATCAACAGGGATAGCGGACCTCGGCTGCTTAGCGAACCTCCTTTATTCAATGTAGGAGAAGCGCTGGAGACTCAACAGCTACTGATTAAGATTGTTTCCAAGAAACAATTATTAGAGTCGCTCAACCTCAAGAGGAATATGGCATGAGCCTCAGTAAATTTAGACCAGACAGCCGCAAAATAAATCTATTGCAAACATGTGTGGCGGTGCTCGGCAGTTAACCGAGACCCCCTTAATTTAGCCTTTAATCAATCGAGTCCCAGAGATCGGATGGTTGGAAACCATAGATTGCACCCCACAATTGCAGGGATTTGTAAGACCATAAACCTAGCCCAGGTACAAACAAGCGTTAGTATTGCTCTACCACGTGGAGAAGGAGGACTCGGAAAAGAAACTAAATTTTGTTCGTGCATGAAAATCGCTGAATGGAGTGTCGCTGCCGTCCACTTCACCACCTGACCGCGTTATGGTCACTTTTTTGTTTTTGGCAAAGCGGTGATCGACGCATCACACGAAGGCTGACCCCGCAATTTGAACATCTACTTGCAAGGGCTACCCTGCCATTTCCTTGGAAATGTTTCTAGTTCGAAATTTCGAATAATCCACCAGTACAGGCATGACTTTGTGACGTGTTCTTCAGCCTATATCAGTGGGATGAAGAGGTAGCAAGCTAGAATTCTAAAAGCGCTTAGTCTCCATATGGCCGGCACATGGCAGATCCAAACAACAATTGCAAAGGAAAATCGGATTGCGCTGTCGTTTTTAGCCCAAGCCAAAAGCTCCACCTCCATAGGTCCGGTTTATGGCAGTACCCAACGAGAGTTACAGGAGGGGAGAAGCTAGCCAGATGGTGAGACTCGTGGTAGATTGATTGGCAGACAGTGACTAGATCTCCTGCAATATAAATAACTTCCAACTCTCTCCACATATGAAATATCATCCAAGAAAGCTTTCCAGCTTCCACTCCTCAATTCAATCTTTCTCTAAGTTACATTCTATTCGGTGACCAATATCTACTTCTCCCACAATGTACTCTCTTAAAGGAACATCTCTCTTCCTCCTAGCACAAGCAGTTGCGTCCTCTCCAGTCGACCAACTCCAAGAACGTGCCTGCCCAGGCATTCATGTATTTGGTGCACGTGAGACGACAGTTTCTCCTGGTTACGGCTCCGCAGGCACAGTCGTAAACTTGATTTTGAACTCCCACTCCGGCTCAACGTCCGAAGCAATCAACTACCCAGCTTGCGGGGGGCAGAGCTCATGTGGTTCGGTCAGCTATGCGAACTCGGTAATTCAGGGTATCTATGCCGTCGCCAGTCAGGTCAATAGCTTCAACGCACAGTGCCCAAGCACACAGCTTGTATTGGTTGGTTATTCGCAGGTCAGTAAACCTCTTTGGTTCTTCTATATTTCTTCCATATCAAGAACTCTGGGTGGGAGAAATAGCATGAAGCTAATGAGTATCCGCAGGGTGGCCAAATATTTGACGACGCATTTTGCGGAGGTGGAGATACGAATGAGGGCTATACTAACACTGCTGTTCCTCTCTCCGCATCGGCGGTAAAGATGATCAAGGCAGCAATTTTCATGGGAGATCCGCGCTACATTTATGGCCTCTCCTACGATGTTGGCACTTGTACTGCTCATGGAGTAAGTACCTCCTCTCGTTATTGGTACCTTTCAATGCCAATTTTTGTACCCTGGTCCCTCGACATATGCTCTCTTCCGTCATTTTGGTGTCTTTTTTCAAGCATACTTGAGAACATAGCTGACGCAAACACCCAGTTCGCTCCCCGTCCAGCAGGGTTCTCTTGCCCATCTGCTAGCAAAATCAAATCATACTGTGACGCCTCAGATCCCTATTGTTGTAATGGCAGTAATGCCGCAACACACCAGGGATACGGAGCCGAGTATGGACAACAAGCTTTGGCTTTCGTTAATAGCAAGTTGAGTTGAACCAACATCAGTCCCGAAGCATGGAATTTATATAGCTGTTGCTGCTCTATTGGGTTTGAGTGATTCACAGTCCTTGTTATATAGAACTGCAGGCAAATCCTTATTACGGTGGCCAGGAAGAGTGATAAAAAGGCCTCTTTCCTTCCTCACGATGAAAACGCACATCAGGACACCTTCCATTTAAAATTTCAACCACTCTTCTTCAGCTGCGCCGTTTCTTTTTCAAATTTCTCTTGAAGCACATGTTCTCCTTCTTAACTCTCGCTCAATAACTCCACGATAACCCCCCGATAGAAAGACCTTTCCACCTTACCAGCAAGATAAACAAAAATCTCCCAACCTCAAGATATGCCATCATTCCGTAGGCTCATCCTACCCTGCTTTAGCAACCCACTCCTGGATATAGGGCAGGGACAACCCATGATAGATGGTATTCGACCGTAGACCAGCACCCCAGAAAACAAGTTGAATTGGATTGATAATGGATGGAATCCCTAATCGTTCGGCGCTCCCCACCTAGTCTCGCTTAGTGACACTCACTAGGTGAGGGCCACCAATACGCAAAGCACACCAATACACAAATCTGAGATTTTGGTAGTACCTTACCAAAAATTGTCCTTTAAATTCTTATAATACAACGTATTAAAAAGGTGTTTATATAGTGGGAAATAATCCTAAGACTAAAATCCTTTTATTTATTAAATTTAAAGAGCAAAAAATAAAGGCATTATTATTTTTGAACTTTATATAGTTTTTCTATATAAACTAGATAAAGTATTAGATCTGGGAGTTCTAAAGCTTATTTCTCTACTAATATTAGAACCTTAATAGGCTAGGGGTACTCCGTTTAGTACTTTTAATACCTTATAATATATGAGATATAACTATATATGAGATATATCTATATATGAGATATATTTATATTTAAAGTATATTCTTTACTAATATAAGGATTTTAATAGGCTAGAAATATAGTATTTAATATCTTTAGCGCCTTATAGAAATATATATATATATATATATATATATCTTAAATATATTAAATTAAAGCTTAATTATAGTATTTTTCTATAAAAGCCTAGCTTTCTTAAAACTCTGGAAATTATAACTTTATTTAAAAGTAGACTATATAATATATAGCTCCTGATTTTTAATAAAATACAAGAAGTATATATATATTCTTAAGAATATATTTCCTAAATAATTATAAATAAGAAATAGAGATATATATATATATATATTAGAAACTAAAGAATAGCCGAAAAATAAAGCCTTATTTTATAATAAAATTATAAAAATTAGCTTGTGAAATATAAAGGAAAAAGACTAGAAGGGAATTTAATTCTTAATTATATAAATACTTGTTCTAGAGTTTATTTAAAGAGAATACTTATATATTTTAATTAGAGTTAGTCTTTTATTATTTCCTCTTTAAATATATATCTATATTTTAGGAATATTATATAAGTAAAATAAGGATATTATAGGAATTAGTAGAGATATACTATTTTTATATCTATTTTATATAAGGCAAATCGGGCAGATTTATATTATAATAATACCTTAATTTTTTAGTCTTAAAATTTGCTAAGCTAAAGGGTCTATATATTAGAATTAATTACTCTTACTTAAATACTATTTTAATATATTATATTATGAGATTTTAAAGGGTAAAAAAGGGAGATTTTTGGTGGGGTGTCACTAAAATCTCAGATTTGCGTATTGGTGCGCTTTGCGTATTAGTGGCCCTCACCTAGTAAGTGTCACTAAGCGAGACTAGGTGGGAAGCGCCGAACGATTAGGGAGTGAAGGCGGTACTCTGGCTTCCATCCCCATGTCCAAAACGAGCACACGTGTGGAGTGGGAGACGATCAAATAGGCATCTGCTGTGGATAAGGGCAATTGCCATGCCAATCAAATGGGTAAACACTTCTGTTCAGCAGCTTCACTGTGTTGAAAAGATTTATCTTCTATTATATTATGCCGCTATTCAAAACAGGAACAACATCAATTCAAAAACACGTTCTCGCAGTATTGCCCGCCCTGAATTTGGCTAGGGTTGGGTTCTTTGTCGGGAAAGTCTTGCCCGTTAGTGGGAAGTCTCCGCGTTATCGGGGCCCGTTTTCGACACCGGCAATAGTGGGGTGAATGGCACGGGCAGATGAATTCAGAGTCGAATATCCATATCCAACCTTTCTCGAATTGTGACAGGTCTCTCGTTTGTCAATTATCATTTATGTTGATTTTTGCACAACAGCGATGCTTTCGCTTCGCCAACAGGCCGTACTGATAGCCTTTCCAGTCCTGCTAATCGCAATTTTCTGGTCTTCATTGTTTCAGGATTCTACTCTTCGGTCGCATATATCTTCACTGGACATTTTATCATTTTCTAGTCCACGAGTGTCTATCCGGCAGGGCCATGTCATTGGAACACTCCTTACGAAGAACTTTCCTCAGCCGGTAGAGGCATTTATGGGATTGCCATATTGTCAGCCACCAACAGGGGACGGGAGGTTTCGAGCTGCAGCACCATTACCTGCTTCAAATAAGACATTCAAAGCTTTAAATTATGGTCCAATGTAGGTGTGCAATTGGTGCTTGGGAATAGTGCTAAAAATTCTAGATGTCCTGGAAAACAGTTGCTTGCTGGGAAGACCTACCCTAGCAGTGAGGGCTGCATGACGGTGAATATCTTCCGTCAGAAACCAAAAGATGTGGAAAGGGTGCCTGTGGCTGTGTACATCCATGGCGGTGCGTTCAATCGCGGTAGCTGTAAGTTTTCGGGTTTCTTTACTTCCCAACCGATAGCACGTGAGGTCCTGGAAGTGTTTCTGACTGATCGTTGCTTGTTTTAGCAAGGATGCATAATACTGCATCAATGGTGGCATTCTCAGAGAGTCCGTTTATTGGCGTGAGCTTCAATTATAGGTATGCTACGGATCTCAATCTTTCTGGTCGTAACTAATTTTTTGGGTAGAATTGGAGCTCTTGGCTTCCTCCCTTCAAAACTCACTTTTGAAGAAGGCATCGTAAACCTGGGTCTCCATGACCAAGTGTTCCTGCTTCAATGGGTGCAGGATAACATCGAAGAATTTGGTGGCGACAAGAAAGGTGTGACCATTTTCGGCCTCTCAGCTGGCGCCCATTCGGTCAGTGTCCCTCTCACGTTCAGATTTGGAATCGCACTCATAACGTTAGATTGGCCACCATATCATGAACTACAAGGAAGGAATGACGCCGTTCTTCCATAAGGCTATTCTGGAGTCCGGGTCTGCTACGTCCCGTGCCCAGCATCCCTACAATGCGCCTGTTCACGAGGAGCAATTTGCGCTCTTTATTGAGAAGGCAGGATGTGCTTCTGTGCCCCGCGATAGCATAGTTTCTTGCCTTCGCTCCCAGCCGGAGGCAATCATCAATGAAGCATCAACTCACGTGTTCGACAAATACAACCCCAGCCTGCGATGGGCCTTCCAACCAGTAATTGACCACGACCTGATCCAGCGCAGACCTATTGATTCATGGGCGACTAAGAAGTGGCACAGAGTTCCAATTATGACTGGCCACACAACGAATGAAGGTACATATTATGTTCCCAGTGCACTTGCAACGCCAGAGGAGTTCACCGGTTTCTGGCACGTCCTCTTGCCGCACTATTCAGAAGAAGACTTGGCGGCGATAAATTCTTTATATCCCGACCCATCGTCTGTTGAAGATAGCAAGTACAAGGAGACACGTGATATGGAGAGTATCGGCGTTGGTCCACAGTACAAGCGCGTCGAAGCAGCGTACGCGCACTACGCATACACTTGCCCTGTACGACAAACAGCAGACCTCGTATCGATCGGCCAACAACAGCCTGTCTTTGTCTACCATTGGGCTGTGAACAAGACGGTCAAGGGTGGCGCGAATCATGGGGACAATATGTACTACGAGTCATATCCCGAGGATGTGACGAGCATCAGTGAAACAACACAGGAGATTAGTGGTGTCTACCACGCGTATGTTACGAGTTTTATCACGAGTGGCAATCCGAACACGATTCAGGGGAGATATAAGTACCGGCCAAAATGGGAGAATTATGTCAGAGGAAGCGAGAAGGTTATGATTTTGGGGAACGGAAATGATGAGAGGGCTGGGGGGACGAGCTTGGGTACCCCGGCAGAAATGGTGGATAGCAGCTGGATCAAAAAGGAATGTGATTTTTGGTGGAAGAAGAGCCATGAAACGGAAGAATGAATTACGCAGCCTACGAGGCAATGATAACTCCCTACCGACTGATCAGGACAGAAGATAAACCCGAAAATGCATCCAGGTTCATATGGCAACATACCCAGCAGCCTCGGCCGTGAAGTGAAATATTAGGAATCGAGTTCCGGGGGGGTGGCGGGCAGACGGGCAGACGAGCTGTATCTGGAATGAGTCGTCCGTGATCATCACAGACACCGCGACTTCGGATTTTGACGGAGAACGTAAGGTTACAATATTAGCGGGCCGGCCTTGCCAAGATCCCAAACGGTTTTGGGTTAAAACTAGTCGATCTTACCTCACAGGCGATAGGCGATAGTTGCCAAGATGTTTCCCGCGGAAAACTACTTTATCTGCTGACCGCATGTTTCCATCGCCTCCATTGTTCGCTCAGCCCTTTCGAAGCGACACTCAGCGCCATGGCGATTCTCCCAGCAATTCGCCAATAGAAAGCTACGCTATGTCCGAGGGGCCAATTGACCTACTTCCAGGGAGCCTATCCCCTCACAAATCCCGCCCTTATCGTTCCCACCGGTTCCCTGCCTGTGACTTTTGCCGGCGTCGGAAAAGTCGCTGCACACGAGATGTCGACAATCGCCCCTGTCTGCTATGTCGCGTGAATGGAGTTGAGTGTACTCGGAACGGCGCAGGGTCTACAGCAACAAACGAATCTGTGCCTGCCGTCCATCGCAGAAAGCGCCCCCGTGAGTCTCGGCCGGAGCTTCCGCTGGAGGACTCGCATTCTCATTCGGCAGCACGAGTTAAAGATGCCTCGTTGATGAATATTCATTTCTCCAATGCGCAATCGCAATCACTGCTGGAGGGACACAGTCCTGAAGAGATAATCCGCCCTCGAATGAAAACTCCTACCCCGAGATCTGTTCCGACCCCGCAACAAGCTCAAAATCAAAATCAAACAGGACATATTGTTGGTCCGGCGGTTGCAAGAGATGTCCAGGTACTAGAGCAGTTTATGTCGCCAACATACGGCGGTCTAGCTGTGTCTTATGCACGGCCGAATCCATACAGCGTTTATTCAGATGATCCGAAGCATCCAATTGTTTACTTAAAAGTTCCGCGGCAGCGCGTGGCTTCTTCTTTGGGGAATGGCTCAGCTGGCTTCAAGCAGTATGAAACAATTGAAAAGATATTAGAGCCTCTAGGAAATGATTTGTTTAGTTTGTAGGTGTCCTTTGCGGTTTCGGACCAAATTTTGCTTTGTTTTGGCAAATACTGAGAAGTCGACAGATATTTTGACATCTTCCACCCTTCATTTCCCATCTTAGATGAAGGGACAGTGGTCGAGGCGTATCGGCACGGTAGCCTTCCTCATTCTCTTGTTTGTGAAATATACGCCTGCTCACTCATTTCTTGGAATACTTCTACGAAAATCTCATTGACGAGTCGACCCCGACCAGATATACGCTACATCTGGGAACAAACAGTTAGCGCTTTGAATGATGAATTTACAGCCCCTGGGTTTTCGACTGTACTAGCATGTATTTTGGACCTTTCCGGGCGGCCAACAACTTCAATGACATATAACGCGGTAAACATCGGCAGAGTTGTGGCATTATCGAAGAGTCTTGGTCTCAACCAAGACCCCCGAAAATGGAGTCTTGACCAGCGTCAGAAGGACCTTCGCGTCAGAGCATGGTGGGGTGTTCTAATCCACGATTGGTGGTACGTTCTCACAGATCTTCGGATATTCTAAGCTTGTAAAGCACGCAGCTGATGCATGACAGGGCAAGTCTGTCGCACGGCACTTCTCCAAACATACACCCTACACAATTTGATGTTGAGATACCCGGACTTGATTCAATTGTCACGGGTGCGGGGAAGGCCACTTCAAGACAGCAAGCGTCTGATGCTGGAACTGCGGGTGCTCTTTGCTTTATCGCTTTATGCCAATTGACAGAGATCTTAGGCGATATCCTACCTCTCATCTACAATACCAAGCGTGGAAAGCACCACGATCCTCGAAAATCACTCCTACGTAGTGAGGCTTCACTGGAGGAATGGGAAGAAAATTTACCAAACTGGCTGGACCCCAAGAGCCTGGATTTTCAGCGCGAACTTCCTGGTGTCCTAAGTCTACAGCTTTCGGCTTTGGCAGTTAAAATATGTATTTGTAGGGTGTCACTGTTGGTATGTTATGTGCAAAAGCAATTCATAACTTCTGTCTCTCTAACAAGGGACAGGAGGCGTCCAAGTCTGACGAACGCGACGATACAGAAATGCGCCAATTCTATCAATCTAGATGTCGAAGGGCAGCCAGAGCTGTTGTTGAATTTGTCACATCGCTTCAGCAACGTGACCTAGACGCGTTCTGGTTACCTTGTAAGTTAATGAGGCTGATTTCATTCCCAAAATAGCCCTGGTCCATCTTTATTCAGGCTAGGAAGCCTCACTACACAACTCCCATTATTTGCCGACTTGACTAAAAATGCATAGATACCGCATACCATTTTGCATCAGCAGCCACATTGATACTTCGATGCGCCCTAGAAGCGGCGAATGACGACATAGCTCGGGAGTGTGTAGCAAGTGCGCAATTGCTGATCAGCCATCTGCGTAAATTTAAAGACGAGTCCAATTGGGACTTATCCGGTGTCTGTCTCTCCCAATGCGATGAAGTAGTGCGACGAATGAGCGAAGGAACGGTTTTGGATTTTCGGCGTGGGCATGCACACAGTTCAGGCTCAGCCTCCGCTCCCAGTGGTGCCGCATTCGGCTCAAATAACGAGGATTCTGCTTACTTGTCAGGTCCAAATAGATTTCAAAATTTGGAATCGTATTCAAGGCCGCGGGTTGAGTTTCCTCGAGATATTTCACGGGATGTGGCTGCTGCTGAATGTCCGGCTGGATTTGCGGGGCAAGGCAATGCGGCACTACTAGGGGGCAATGATATGGGAATGGAGAGTCAAGAGCCAGGGAATGACTTTTTGCTAGTGCCGGACTTGTGGCAGATGGATGGCTTTGACGAATATAATCACTTTGTATTGTGATATATATTTAACACAGAGCAATAACACTAAACAATATGTGGGAAATAACTTAGAAACAAAAATTTCCCACGCCTTTTAATAGATGTATCTGAAATGAGGATTCTGTTCCGAACTTAGCTTGTGTTTCGAACAATATCCAGAAGAAAAGCTTACCTCGAAATCTGTCAAATCGCCGCCAACCTCCTCGATTGCATGCTCCTCCGTCTCAGTAATACCCCTCGCAGCAGCAGTTGCATCTCGGCTCTTGTTGCGTCTCACCAACAAGAACCTCAGAGTGATCGAGATAACAACCTGCGTTGCTGAGCATGAAAGAATAACAATACAACCCGTAGGGTACGTTGGGGATTCGCTCGACAAGAAGGCATGCGGTCCGATGATGTTGCCGGCACAGTACGCCATGAATACAACAGCCACACCCGTGACCCTCTTGGTGTAGCCACCCAGGTTCGTGGAGGGCATCTGCAGAGCGAGAACCAAGGAAGTGACGTACGAGCCAACAATATAGTAGCCAAAGAGCACACCGACAAGATGCTTCGCGCGGTTCAGCTTCCAAATGAGGCAGATGCCTAGCACAGTCGGGAGGAGATAGATCACCATAACGGCAGTGCGGAAGTTCCGGATACGCGAAGCAAGCCAGGTCCCGGAAAGGATCCAAAAGACCTGGAATGCGCCTTGTGGTATGCCAAGAACAGTTGTAAGCAGCGGATCCTTGACAAGGCCCTTAATGATGAGTTTCCCGAAAGATGCGATGCCCCCATTGATGACTTCGTTGAGCAGCATAAAGAGGGTGAGGAGCCAGACCTGCGGGTCTAAGAGTGCTTCTTTAATCTGGTACCATTTGATCTTGCGGTTGAGGATCCCAGTGCGACCGAGCTTGCCGCGACCGACCAGTACAGCTTTATCTTGGAGGCTGAAGCGTTTGGCGGAGAGGATGTCATCAGGAAGGATGTAAAGCATGAGGAAACCCCAAGCAACGGTGACGCCACCGCAGATGAGGAAAATGGCCCTCCAGACGGGGAAGGAGTGCATTTGGCCGATGGCATAGGTGACAAGCCCACCAATCATAGACCCAACTCCGTTACAGGAGTAGAAAACCCCCGCCCTGAAGGGTTGTTCTTGGCGGGTGTACCTATGCGTGTGATCTCAACGTTAGGCTTGGTGCTATATATTCACTTTGGGGATGAGCGGAAACTGAAAATGGGCATTACGTACCACATGCTGACAATCATCATAAAACAAGGAGTGATAGGAGCTTCAAAGACACCCAACAAAAAGCGGCAGATTGACAAACCAGCAAAGTTTTGGCAAGCTGCCGTGATCATGAGGATAGCTCCCCAAGAGATGACACAGCCAGACACAACTTTAGCCATTCTCGTCCTCTGCGCCAAGTACGACCAAGGGTACTCTGCAGCCAGGTAAGCAAAGTAAAAGATACTTGCCAGCCAGCTGTATTGGTCATTGCTGATGCCTGTGTCGGTAAACAGGTCGAAGACCGCCGAGTAGGCGAGGGCTGATTTGTCAACATATTGCAACACGTAGGTGCCAGCAAGCATTGGCAGTAAGATCAAGTCGATCTTGCGGACGAGTTTCTTGTTTAACTCTTTGTCGACAAGTAGCTCTTGGATGTACTCATGAGTGAAGTTATGCTCGCGCAGAAAGATATCTGCCTCGTCCAAGCTAGAGATTTCGCCAACTCCAAAATCATCGACCTTGCTATTTGGCGTGGTTTGCATCACGTCGCTCTTTTCGGCCTTGTCGTCCATTTTGGATAGCCGATGTTAAGACTGAAGTGGGGAAATGGGGCCAATGATGAGAATATTGAGACTCGGGTTGTCTCAGTCATGAGAGGGCCATTTGTCTAGTGGCCATGGAGTGTTGTCGCACATATATAGACATACAGTTTAAGCTAATCGCGGATTCGCGCGGCCACTCGCACTAAACATCCCCTGCAGTTTTAAGCAGGGACGTAGGAGCTTTAGTGCAAGCCCTGACGCACGATTAGACCGACAGCTGGAAAGATAAAGTATCATCTCGCTCTCAGATAACGACGGAGTGGTTGTGGAGATGGAGACCCCAGGCATTCGATATGCACAGGGCAAAGAAGGTTACATTAGATACGAGCTGGCTGATGTCGGAAAACTCCCATCCAGCGCTGTGTCGGCTCATTAGCCTCGCACCCGGCAAAACGTCGGCTGATGCACGGACTTTATTCCCCTCATCAACCGATCCCCCTCTCGAGACATACGCACCACCACTACCACCATTACCATGCTGAAGCTATATCATCTAACTTCACCCAAGTTCACTTTACCTTCAATAACATATTCTTAATGCATTGCCAATCCTCAAATCGGTTATCATTGAGGAAGTGCGGCAAGAAAAGTGTTGTGCAGTTTGGAGGGGAAAACATGCAGAACGTGATATAGAAAAACCAAGGAGAAGCAACGTGCCAATGTAAAGAGGAGCGCATCCAACCTAACTTATGGATTTGAACCAAATAATATCGTGGGGGTCTCTTCGAAAATGTTTGCACGCTTCAAATGGAATAAATTTAAGTTCATATCAAAGGGCATGCGTTCTCCGCCGGCGGGTAAAGGCATTCTTGATCTACTGTGATCTTCCTAAAATACGTGTACTTTATCCAGAAGCATTGGAAATAACAGTGTCTGAAATAGTAATAATAATAGTCGTTACTAGACTCGGCCTTAATATTCGAGGTATTAATACGGAATAATACTAGAATGAATGAATTAACCTTAAGTGAGCCTTAGACCAAGTACCTACTATAGTTAACTTATATATAAGGTACTTCTTCTATTTACCTCGCTCTCTCTTTATAAAATGCCAAAAATTGAGATTTTTAAAATTACTTGATTTTTTTTTAAACCCCCGTCTCTAGAATTAATACATTAATACCTTTAATTACTAATTTTGCCTTCCCTTTTTTAAGTAGAGATAGTTATTGTAATAAAATTATAGCTTTAATAGCCAAGGGGATAGTCGCTTTATCGCTTAGGATAAATATTGATCTATTCTAATCCTTGGAGTAATCCGGAGCAATCCGCGACCCGCGGAATTTAGCCGAGCTCGGCTGTCTCGCATTTCGTCGGGAAACTGTTTTCCGCTGGGAGTAGTTGCGGGAACGACGTTACGACGGGCAATGTCGCCCGTTGTAAAAGTGACAAGCAGCACCCGAGTGACACTCTTTGATTTGTTGATCTCTGCATCTTGGTCACGTCATTTGTTCTCCACGGAAAGGATCGTCTGCACCTTTTCCTGCCACCATGAGAGCAAGACGGCCAAACTTAAGTAACTAAGTTTTAGAATGGGGGGGCCAAGACTCCATGGGGGACACTAAGATGACTACCCGCATCCCCTAACCACAAAAGGAGGACTTTGGATTCGTTCGGTATTATTCAGGCCTGCTTCAATGTCGAAAACGCGATGGATCGCGAAGTTACCTATAAAACCCACGATTTCTGTTTCTGCATTACCCCTCCATCCTCCATACGACTACAAAACAGTCTCCTTATTTCCATCCCGTTCATAACCAAAACAGAAATATGGGTTCAATCGCTCTCGGAGCGAAAATGCTAAAACTTCCGGAACCTTTTGCCAGCATCCCAAAGGAAACCTTCCTTTTCGGGCCCTCGCCAATCCAATACCTGCCACGAATCACAGAAGCACTTGGTGGAAAAGTTGGTGTTTACGCAAAACGCGAGGACTGTAATTCCGGCCTGGCCTTCGGTGGAAACAAGGTTCGCAAATTAGAGTGTGCAACTTCAGCCCCACAGCTACACGAATACTCTAACATTCTCCAAACAGGTATTTTGGCCCTGCGGCGGTGGAAGCAGGCGCCGATACACTGGTCAGCATTGGAGGCGTTCAATCTAACCACACCCGTGCTGTTGCGGCTGTTGCAGTCAAACTCGGGCTGAAGTCAGCGCTGGTACAAGAGAAATGGGTGGATTGGGAGGACCCTCTATACGCCAAAGCTGGAAATATCCAACTATCACGCCTAATGGGTGCAGATTCACGTCTTGACCCCTCGCCATTTGGAATCGAGCACAAAGATACTTTAAAGAACTTGACGCAAGAAGTCCTTGATAAGGGGGGCAAGCCATATTATATCCCAGCTGGTGCTTCAGATCATCCATTAGGTGGACTTGGTTTCGCCAGGTGGGCCTTTGAGGTTGAGGAGCAGGAGAAGGAACAAGGCATCTTCTTTGACACCATCATCGTCTGTGCGGTTACGGGTTCCACTATGGCGGGCATGGTGGCTGGCTTCAAGCTCGCCGCGAAGAACGGCTCGCGGCCGCGAAAAGTCATCGGTATTGACGCATCGGCCAAAGTACAGCAGACATTTGATCAGATTCTGCGCATCGCCAAGGCAACTGGAGTGAAGATTGGACTGAAGGAGGAAGATATTACAGAGAACGACATCATCTTGGATGGCAGGTATCATGCCGGATGCTATGGTATTCCTGACAAGCAAACTATCGATGCAATTAAGTTTGGTGCTTCAACCGAAGCATTCATTACGGATCCTGTCTATGAAGGAAAGAGCTTGGCTGGAATGATGGATATAATTCGAAAGGGAGAGCTACCTCCTGGTAGCAATGTATTGTACGCACATCTCGGGGGGCAACTTGCTCTCAATGCATATACTTCCATGTAGTTTCTTGCTATGTTACAAACAAATAAATAGAAATTTGATTAGTACGGTTGTATTCACCTGGAAAACTCCTATTTTGAGGTTTACTCTACTTCCTATATTGGCACTATTGTACACAGGCGCCTCCATCGACAGGAATATCGGCTGTAATAAAGCTTAGTTAAGGTTAAAAGAAGGAGTTGAGTGCATGAAATAAAGAAATCAATACCTCCAGTCAAAAATACCTGCACTGATTGTTTCCACCCCTCTCGAGTTTCCTCAGGCCAGTCCAGCGGGATATGGAAAGAGCAAATCAGTAGCTGGAAGGGTCCTTGAGCGAGGGCCAAGATGATGCTGATTGGGCAGATTATTCCAAGCTGAAAGGATAGAGCAAATAATTGTGGAATGTTGATGGGATGACTCCGTTGCTGATCAGGAGTGCGCTGGTTCCTCGACCTTGCCTGATAGGTTGGGTGGTGGATATTCTTGTGACCGAGTTGAGGTGGATGTCGCTTCAAGACTTATTTCTGAAGTTGATGGGTTGTCCAAAGAAGGAGGAATGAAGAACAAGAACGCAGGTTCCTGTACAATGTTATGCATCCGAGACAATATTCTTGGAGGGCCAAATTCTTACCAATGCTGACGCAGTCGGGGTTAGTGTTTGAAATGGTTGGATACAGAGAGTGGTTGAAAATGATCGGCAAAAGTGAGTACAATATTGTGAAGAACCCCAGCCGGAAGTCGCCGGAGCTCTGGGAGTCACAGGCGTGGGATCATGGCGAGATCAGATCTGATACAGATGCTGGTGGCGAAACGAGTCTGATGTCGAAGACCGCGTAAAGAGTTATTGATGGAGACTTGGTGGCTGAGATTCTAGCGGCTTGGAAGAATGTGAGGTAAACACTCGAGAGTCGTTACTGCATTATATAATATGAATGGTTTGACACCACAAAGGAGTGTAAAGATCCATACCCCCTGTGATTCAGTAGGGTGAGATCTGCAGGAAACTTTGCTTCTCAGATTAGATATCTTCACGACAAGATATTACATCAAGAGCAATATAATTCTAAAATCAAGTCATGAGGTGTTCCCCGACCTTCTGGGGATTTGTTCCATCGTATGCTTGCCACCGGGACATTGGCTTAATGAATTGATTTGCTTTGGGTGAATACGGAAGGGCAGTTTTGCTGAAAGTCGCCCCAATGTATGGGAGTATATCTGAACGATGAAGTAAAAAAAACCCCTCGACCGCACCATTCTACTTACACTCAAAATAATTCGGGAGGCCAACGCTTCCTTTTAAACCAAATCCACTTTATATGAGTGATCGTAGCTTCTGATAGCCTCTAATTCCATTCTTTCTTTGTCTTTAATTATAAATCAAGTTATTAGGGCCTCCTTCGCAACTTTCAAATGCTAGCATTTGCTTAGTATTCGAATACCAGCTTTGGATTATTAGGAATTTAGTGTTTCACAAATATTTGTATGCTAGCAACCATTACAAGCATTTGATTACTAGTGTTTGCTCCCATACAAATCGTAATTTTTTCTTAGAATTACTTATTATAGGTAGTTGTAAAAAAATTGAAGTATTTGAATACTAGCTTTTGCTCTTTCTAACTACTTTTATAGCACTTCTTAAGGGACAATATTTTAATTATTATATAACTATCGCGCTTCTCGTATAATTTATTGTGAAGTTCTGCCTTAGTAGGAAAGCTATTAATTGAGATATCTCATATCCTCCAGTAACTATATAAAGGGCAGAGCGATATTATAGAGTGTGGACTGCGGGCACTCTTGCGTACGGTGGCTGAGGAACACCTCTATGGGCTTGGTTTAGGGTAGACTGCGGAGCTTTTGTCAGTTGTAACTAATCGGGCATATACCCCTCCTTCTAAAAAATGCAAAAACAACGTTCAACCGCAGTAATCGCGATCATTATTGAGTATTTACATTTTGCGAAACACTCCTAATTTTTACAGATACTAGCTTTGAATATTGAGCATTTTTGAATGCTAGTAATGGTTGCTGGCAATTGCTAGCAATCAAAAGACGTGCATCCGTACGGAACAGGCTCTTATTAGTCAGAACTTTTGAAGTGGTTTGGGCGTATCCGATCCGACCGATCATACATATGTATTAAGAAGGAATGTATCTCAGCACAAGACGATCAACTACGCCATGTTCTTCTTCCTTGCATCCCGGTAGCTGGCTCGTCACCTGGACCGCCTTCTCAAGTCGCAACTCGATATGCTTCTCGCCGCCAGCCCGAGTGCTCCATGACACAATAGCAAGATTTTCTCTGCCCAGAGCCACTTTTGCTTCCACAGCCTCACTCAATCGCACACGTGGCTTAAAGAGCACTTTGGCAGACCCAGGAGCGATAGGACGGATACCCGCAAGCCCAGTACAGTACTCATACACGGGCACACTACCCCAAGCATGGCAGTCCGACCGCTGCCGCACATCATCCTCCTCCCACGTTGAGAGGTTGTTAGCCAACATCGCCCGCCACGGATCCCACACACGCGCCCAGAACACCTCCCAGGCATCATCGCCTGCGAGGGCATATGCTCGCAGTGCGTAGAACTTCATCACGTACGAGAATTTTGAGAACTTCGGCTCCGCGAATGATTCCGTCAGGAGACGAGCACGGTCCGAAGGCGCAGCAGCACCGCAGAGCACGCCGAAAACTTGGCAGTGCTGGGAGTAAGATAAAGAGTCGGCGATGTCTGCAGTGGAGTCGGTGAAGAACCGTCCGTCGAAGCAATGGGCCTTGATCGCTTGCACAACACTCTCACCACGCGATTCATACTCGCCCGCGTACCCAGGGCGGCCGACGTCTCGCACAAGCTTCGCAGCTTGGTTGAGGACGAACGCGTAGAGCATGCTAAAGTAGGTGTGACGGTTTGATTTCCGGCCGGAGGTGGGAACCCCTTTGTCTGGATGCTCGTCTGTTGCGCCCCATGTTGTCACCCAGTCGATATACTGCCACACATCCTCGGGCATGCCGCTGACAAGGCCCAGGTCGTCGATGTGCGACTCGAAGAAGTCGAGCACGCCATCGATACGGGGCAGGAAGGAATGGGCATATGATGTATCGCCGAAGAAGAGGTGGTGATCGCATACTTGGAGGATCCAGTAGAGGGGAAATCCAGCGATGATTTGCGGTACATGTGATGGGAAACGGGACTGTGTGAGACCTTCGGGAGTGACTGAAGACGCAAAGTTGGTGATAGCTTGGCGCATCAACAGATCGTCCCCTGATAGGAGGTAGTGGAACAGCCCAACTGAGCGTGAGTCGCCAGAGTATCTGTTCTTGTGATTAGTTGCCATGTCACCACTCTGAACTGGACAGATTTCAGTGTCGACTCACTGGAGCTGCTCGTAGAAAGGGCAGTCCGAATACCCGTCAAACATACAGTTCCGCATCGTTCTGATGGATACATCCCATATTTGCTCGCTGTGCTTATCTCCGGGCTCCTTCCAGCTTGCCTTCACTGCGAGAGGGTAGTTCACCTGGGTGGCGTCAAAGGAGAGCAGCTGAGCAGGCTCCGGCCCAACTGAGATTTCCAGTCGTAGAATACGGAATGTCCGAAACCAGAACGGCTCATATGTTACGGTCTGGCCGTGTGGAAGGTCCAAGATCAATTCATCATAGGGGCCGATAAGATGCCCCTTTTCCGCATCCAGGCGATCGGCTTTGGTTCGAAAGAAAGGGTAATTACGAGGTTCGAGCTCGTAGCCTTCCGAGTAAGTAACCCTGAGTCTGATCTGAGACCGCTTCGCCTTCGCCCTGAAGGTCCATTGTAGGAAGGCTGTGGAATGGACATGTGCCTGCACTTCCAAAGCATGCGATGATCCTCCTGGAAGAATTATCGTCCTGTTTGCTGCGAGATGGGCAGTCCAGTCATTGATAGAGGCAGTGCTCTGGCAGGCTCTGACGGTGCTGACGGCAACTGGACTTTCTTCGGCCATAGGGATAGCACGTGGACGAAGGCGCCAGGGAAGAAGGTCGCCATTCAGCGTCTTCATACCATACAACACAGGCGTGATCCATGGGTTTGGGATGGTAGGAGCAATGCGCTCGCTGATCTGTCGCGGAGATGATAGAGGTCAGTAGAAGTTTCAATGACACCATATATATGGCATTGGGGGAGCTAACATGGAGGAAGCCGTCGTCGACCAATCCCATGGGAAACAAGATGCTGTCGTCCACTTGGGCCTGCCAGTCCACGCCTGAGGTGAGCTCCAGGACGGCTGCTCCCGCCTCCAACTCCACACTACCAACGACCGTCAAGCCTGCATGGGTTGTCCTCTCAAACGGCATCGCACCCCTCGAGGCTGCGAAGTACTGAAGTACCTCAAAACGAATCTCATTGCTGCCGCTCCCAAGATACGGTGCAATATCGAGCGTATCATAATGCCAGATCAACAAACTGCTCCTCGCTGGTCCTACCGCGACGCGGATCCTATTGATGTAGAGCTTGTATCGGGTGTCTGCAGAGAAGTGCAACAACGTACGAGTTGCAGGAGTGTCGAGGTTGAACTTGCGACGGAATCTGACAATTCGTCCGGCTGTGTTGCTCTTGGAGGAATCTACCCAACCAGGGACCCAAATCCAGTTTGCCTGGAGCTTGTTGATGGTCTACATGTTGTTGTCAATAGCATCTGGGCCCAACGTTGGGCGGGAGGCGTGCGCTCCTACTTTTTGCTCCTCGTCTGTCACCATTGTGACTAAACGTGATGATCGAGTTTGACTGTTCTTGACGGTGTTTCTCACGAACCATGCTCAGAGGCTGATTGACAATCACTACGCCACGAGGTGTTCAGAAGACTTATAACGATGACCTTGACGACATACGGCTGGGAAGACATGCTCGTTTTCGGCATATGTAACACCGAAACCAGCTTTTCCCAACGAAAAGAAAGGTAAGAATAAGTCTCCACGGCCCAAACGCAAGTGTGCGGCGTGGTGTTACAGTCAGTGAGTCGTATGAGGAACTCCTTGCTGGGAACGCGGGTCCTATCGGTGTGCATTGTCCCGCTGCCCGCCGAGCCGAAGCGGGCTCGAATTGTGCGTGAGATCTCCGCTATTATCCTACCCCCGACCATCCCCACACCCCCAAAAACGGCCATTTCTCCGCAGTCGCTTGTGACGCCTGGGGCTTTGGCCATGGATTTCTAGGGTCTTCCCCCTCAGTGGCGCGGTAATTGGCTGCCTCGGTCGAGAGATATGCCACCAGTGCGAGGCCTTGATCTCCCCGAGCTAAGCGAAGCAAGACAATATATTGCACGGCAAATACTTATATAGCCGATAGGGAACCTACCGCAGACTGTTGGCAGCTGTTCCTCTAGCAACATCACAAAGACCTACAAAGCGGAGCCCCAGACTGCTCAGCTGCTTCTCGTCTCAATGGCAGACCAGCAAGGGAAGCGCGATAACGAAATGGTCGAGGCGGCCACGACCACCGAGGAGCAAATGCCGGCTTCAAAAGGCGAGGTGCCGTTGATGCGCTCCAAGGCGGACGAGCTTGGTGTTTGGCAGAGTGCGTTGATATTCAAGTGCGTGGGGCTCATGGCCATGACTGCAGCGTTCTGCGCGGCCCTTGATGGCTATCGTAAGACACGCCTTACAAAAGAAGCCGCACGCCCATGAAGTGCTGACATCGCTCGTCCATAGAAATTAACCTCAATGGCGGCATTATCGCCAACAAGGGATTCATCAAGCAGTTTAACCCCTCTAAGACCGCTGTCTTCGACGGCAAATACGTATCGGCGTGGGGTGGCATTCAATCTGCAGGCCAGTTCTTTGGCCAAGTTGTGCGTATCTCATGAGTTGCGTAGGTTATTCCAAAACACCACTGACGGATTCTCTTCCAGCTGCTTCAATATGCCACGGAAGGGCTGGGCCGTAAACCAGCACTTTTGATTATCTGGGTGGTTCTTGTAGCGGTAAGTCTGATCCTTTCTATTACTTTGTTTGATGTTGAGTCTTCCCCGGTTTGTGGACGATACTCTGTAATGCCTTTACTAAGGCATTCCGCTGGGTTTAGAGTATTTTTACCGAGTCATTCGCCAGCGACTGGCAACACTGGCTAGTCGCAAAGCTCCTCTCCGGTATGGGAGTTGGCATGTTGCAATCAACTATGCCTCTCTATCTATCTGAAATTGCTCCAACCCAGTTGAGAGGATTCTTCATCAATGCATACAGCTTGTAAGTCCCGTTCCCCAAAACCTACATTCCCCATATCTCCTATCCCCTTGTTTTCTCTGTTTGCAAATGCGGGCTGCTGTTTACCATGAGGCCATTCTTCTAGGTGGTTCATTGTAGGCCAACTGTTCGCGTCCGTGGCCCTCTACAGGCTCAAGGCCACGGATCCGTTGAACTACAAGACTCCTATTTATACCCAGGTGAGCTAGAAAACTAGTTTAGCTCCGGACCCAACTCGCTGACCACTTTTCAGTGGGCGATGGTTATTCCTATTGGTATCGTCTTCGCTCTTCTCCCTGAAACACCCTGGTGGCTCGCTAGCAAAGGTAAACTCGAGAAGGCAAGGAAGGTTCTGCAACTATGCAACGGTGGCGTCGAGGGCTACGATATCGAGGAACAGATTGTTCGTTTTCCCCAACCCACTTGGATACCTGTTCTCCTGTGCTAAGTACTTGTGCTGACTTAATTATAGGAAGTCATGACCTCCACGGTCAGGATAGAACGCCAAACTGCCGAACTAAACAAGGAGGTCGGGAGTTGGGCTATCTTCCAAGGCCGGAATCTCCTACGATTCGTCATCGCCGGATGGCCGAAAATTACCCAGCAGTTTGTCGGCTTAACCGTGTTTAATACGTTCGCTGTGTACTTCTGTAAGTGACTGTAATTCTGGACATTTCAGCTATCCCAGTCTAACTCAGCTTTATAGTCCAATACGCCGGCAACAAGAACCCTTTCCTCGTTACTGTTATCCTCTCCTGTGTGCAATTGCTCTCAATGATTCTCACTTGCACGCTCACCGACTCCATTGGCCGACGGCCACTTACCGTCTATCCCTACGCCATCACAGTCGTGTCCGTCTTGTGTCTAGGAATCATCGGCTGCTTTGACTACACTACCAAGGCACTAGGCTCCCTCCTTGTCAGTCCACCCTCCTAACAATATCCCAAAATCTGCCCTTCCTCAAAGCTATCCAACTGACTGCTCGGTTCCCAGATCTTCTTTGCCTGCCTAGCTACCTTCTCGACTACCGGCGCATCAGCTATTGGCTATGCGTACGCCGCCGAAATACCCATGCAGCGCCTGCGAGCCCGCACTGCGGCCTGGTCGCTCGCATCGTCTAATCTCATCGGTATCATGTTCAGCTTTTGCACACCGTTGATGATCAACCATGGCACCACTAAATGGGGCGTCAAGACGGGCTTCTTGTAAGTGCATCCAGTTGCCATACGTCATGCTTTGGGGGTGGGATGGGTAGTACGGTTATTAATTCTGTACGTAGCTTTGCGGGCACAGGTTTCATCTCTGTTGTTATTGCTTGGTTCATCCTCCCAGAGGTGGCGCGCCGGACACCAGGTGAAATCGACGAGTTGTAAGTTTGCTTTTCATGACCGACTCGTGCCGGGCTCGTCTTGTGCGCTTCAGAGAGACAACTAACGTTTTCGGTGCTTGGTAGATTCGAAAGAAAGATTAACCTCCGGAAATTTGACAAGTATGTCACGGACGTTCAGATTCGTGCAGTTGAGCTACACGGGGATGAAAATGCAATGGCTTAGACGTTATGGATGAGTAGGGCAAACCGAGAGGCGTGATATAAGGTATCTTAAGGCAAAGGCATATGAATTAGTTATACTGGATAAATAATCGTTGTTGTGAAACCTGAGTCTGTACCTGAGTCTGCGTGCTCGCCAAAGCCAGTAAACGTCGCTTATCGTTGAAGATGAATTTATTAACCGGATTAGAAATTTTATATCCCCTAGAGGGGACTCATATTTCAACCATTTTTTACAATAAAATTACAGGTTTCATTAAAGTAATCCAGGTGCAAATTGTATTGTAGCAAGAGTCAGAGCTTCAAATGCAAGAATGAATGAGGCAACCGCAAATCCGTCTGATATGCTTCCATGCTTGACCGACCAAGAAATGCCAAAAACCAAACTAATTACGAAGCCCATCAAACCCCAGAAACAAATCCTACGAACACTGAAACCGTCTTGGAGGTAAAGACCCCAGCCGGTAAACATGTCTGGCGGCTCTCCTCGTTCTGGACGCCTTTCTATGCGCTTTGGGAGTTGGTTTAGGCAAACAGTACTGTTGCGGCAAAAACCAGGGTCCTTGAACCGGTGTGTTAGGAACCCGCTGCTAACGGGTGGAACTAAACCCGGTGGCCTAGGAACAAAGCGATAGTGACGGTCCACTGAAGAAGGCAGTTGGTTTGGCTGTAGGCCATCTACCTCTTGGTTTTCGTGCAGTGTAAACTAAAGATAATCAGCACTTGCCAAGACAAGGTGTATGGTCTCAAAAAGTATCCATTTACTTTAACGAAGGTGATATTTTGAAGGCTTTTGAGACTGATAACCTTGTGGATCCAGTTTCTCCTGGAAAAATACCGGGTCCGCAAGCAAGTAAACAACTGCTAGTCTGAGACTACTGGAGTCAGGTCCAAGTCATCTCGAGTGACCAAAAGCTTCGAATCATTGATGCACAGAAGAACATAGTCAGCCGTCACGGGACTGCTAGTTGTTGGTGCCCGGGGAGTAGCGCTAGAGCTTGTTATTAGTGGAATACCACTGCTAGAGCTCTGTCCACTTGGTTGGCTGGACGAGGATAATGGGCCGTGCGCTCTTTTGGATGACGGAGTTTTCAATGGCGAATTCTTGGGCGAATCTGTGGCCGGATGGTTCCCAGATGGGTTTACTTGCACTCCCGTCGGACTGCCGTCCGCTTGGTCTCCACTACGGCTTCGAAATGTCCTATCTAGATCAAGCAATATGTTTAAAAAGAAAATGCTAATAAGGACGAGGAACATCTTGATTGCATCAAGGAAGGGGCCCGATAGTCCGAGCAGTTCCACTAAAACGACGACACAGGCAACTTCTAATCTCCTGGCTAATTCATCTATGGCACCTGCTCGGTATTCCATAAAGGAGTCGTTTCCCCTGTAGCCGCAAGACTGTGATGAGTATGAGCAAGCGATAATCACGACCAGATCTCAGAACTTACGCAAGTCCAATGAAGACGAAACTGTTTGGGGACAATATCTAATTGAGCGGGCACAGTTACAGGCTGAGGCTTTCTAGCCACAAGACTTTTCTTTCGTACCCGAGAGAAGGTGGCAGTTGGTGAGGCAGGCTTGAGGCTCATACCAAGCTCAAGCGGCGGAGAGGGCGGTGGTCTTCGATTTACTTCCCTTGAATTGATATCAAACCAGGTTGCTTCAATAACTCGATCGCGTACATCAAGTGCTTCGCCGTCCATAATGCCATATATGTAACTCTCGCCAACTAGTTGGTATGTACCAAACAGATCTTTTCGAAGTAAAATGGGAACATTACAACCAAAAAGAATGCAAATACCTGTGAGACATGTTAGTCTGACCTGAATCAATGTTGCGGTAAAGTTTTCAACTTACAATCACCTATCTCGGCGTGAGAAGGGGCAATTCCTAGCCTCCCTTGTCTGGTCTTGATTGAAGATCTGTCCCATATTACAGCTTGGGCTCGGCGCCAAAATTCGCTCTTGATAGATCCAGGCTCGTCAAACTGGATTTGATCGACAATGACGACGCTAGATTCGCCGATTCCATGCAGGGTCGCTTCGAATGCCCTGGAATAGTATGACGGGCACTTAGTGCCTTGAGGCCCACGTCCAGCCACAAGAGTGTGCCATATCGCCTCTGGGACTGTGTCTTTTGACATGCCACCAAATTTGAGCCATTCTGTTGGCATATTTCCATCCCAAGCTGGAGAGGTGATTGCATCGACGGAATCGACAGTCACTCCCATGACATGCAGTCCCTTTTCGCCCCCAGCAATGCGCCATCCTTTCTGAACTTTGAGCTTGCCGGATGCGCTGTAAGTGCGAGGTTGCCCTGGTGGGCTCACAAACGGATCTGCATTCACTCGAACAGCCTCAGGCCATTCATTCTTACTGCGCACGCCGAATGCCAGGCGATCTAAAGTGCAAATCCAAGATGAGAGGTTTGACCCTGCACCGCCAGGCGCCCAAGGTTGAAAGATAATATCAAGAGAGCCCGATTTGGAGATGGCGAAGCTAACAAATTCATCACACAGCTGTGAAAAGTCCTTCGAATAGTCAATGCTGATATGAATTTGGCCATCCTGGACTGTGTCTATGCTCTGGTTCGATTCCAAGATTCTGCTTCGGATTGCCGTAGTTTCATGGACTTCGAGGTATGCGGAGGCTGCCTGAAGACTCTGAGCTCCTTGATCCGGAGGTCCTGCCCGGCTCGTGTCGCCTTGGGTCTCGTCTATCGACGCGGTTTCGAATTCCTGTTCGCTAAATTCCTGGGTCTTTGGCCATCTTTCAGTATCATTCGCTAGTCCAAGGAGAGCAAATATACGGTCATGAGGATCCGTAGACTGAAATAGGGACAATGTCGTAACGAGGGTCTCCAATGACAGTGACGGGCTTTGGATCTTCCCAAGCTCATTTCTTTTGAAGATCCGATTCACGATGTCCACAAGGCGGCTTGCACCAAATTCCGTGACTGGGCCGTATTCCATACAGATTTGAGATTTGCGAACAAGGAGAGCGAGACACGAGTCAAGCTGCGTCCAGTCTATGGTATTGGCGCTGCACCAGATTGTTGCCCTTTGAGCCACAGCTATCTCTTGAACGACCCATATTCGGCTGAATCAGGGCAAGCAGATAAGGCGTACTACAGCTCTCCATTCTTCGTCGAAGCTAGAATCTCGAACGAGGCTATCTAGGTCTGAAACTTGGCCTAGTTTTCCGATGAACTGCATGGCGGTTCTGCTACTCTCGTCTTCTTGGCCTAGCCAAACGCAGACTCTGGAAGCACATTGAAAGATGTCCCGAATTAATGAAACCTGATGGCGCCTTTCTTCTATATCCCTCTGGTTGATGCATATTGCGTCAATCCAGAGGGCTCTCTCATGATTCTTCAACCGAAGGAATTGAAGAGCTTCGTGAAGATTGCCAGGGATTGAATATAGACGGCCATCCACCATGACGTCGACCCATGTGAGGTCTGGATTCCTCCAGGTGTATGACAAGGCCTCATAACTTCTGGTGAAATCTGTAGTTGACACGATGCGACAGCGGATGGGATCGTTTTCGGTCTCTGCTGGCTGGAGCAGAGCGAGGCGAAATCCGTTCTTCGGGATTGGAGAATGCTGGTATACATGATCATCACGGAATAACCGTGCGGGCCGCATTTCGACAAGTTCAAAATAATATGTCAAAGAATCGGGCCTCAAGGTTTGGGAAAATGCAGTCCTTTAGACCGCGAAAAAAAAAAAGAAGAGACAAAAAACATTAAGAGAAAAGGGCGACTTGCTTTCAGCTGGTCAGCTGGTTTCAGCCACACCAATAGTGGTTGTATCTGTCCAATGAAGCTGTGAGGGGCGTTCGAAGGGTCAAGTGCAGGCGAGCCAAGGCCGATTAAGAATACCTCAGCTGCTGCGCCTCTGCGATAGGCCAATGCCGTCCCACTAGAGAATCTCGATTAAAACCATCTGGTTGTCGGATGTTAATCAAACTTGGAAAAAAAAACGTTTTCGTTCGGACGAGCACTGTTCGCGCCGGCTATTGCCCATACTGTAGGGGCACCCCACCTTCGCCTCACAAAACCCAACCTGGCACACCCTGTAAAGCAGCTGTGCTTACCTTTGCGAACAGAATCACATTTCGGGCAAATTAGGAATCGAGGTAAACAGCGATCTATACAGAAACTTCTGGACCACATTGCCGTGGATTATCACCCGGAAATAAATAATCCACCTGGAATTAAATTCTAAGAATGAAATTGTCTAATGCAATTTGATCCCAAAATGATTCGCTTAAAATAGGGGGTTCTCGTCATCCGTTATGCGCCTGAGCCGTATGAAAGAGCGCCCTTCTTATCCGATGTAAACCGGCATCTGGCTTTCACGCCATTCAGACTGAAGTATAGTTTGAGAAGTGATAAGATGATGACAATGATGCCAACAAAAGGCTCGAAAAATCATTGTGACCCAAGCACCCAGTATACTCTGCAACCTTCCCCGACAACTCTTGAAAATATCCCAGTAAACGTTCATCGAAGCAGAATGCCAGTCGCGGCCAATGGGAAACAACCAATGAGCAGGACGTTTCTTCTTGTCCTTGACTCTCCCATAGCTGAGGATGGCCATTCGTAGATGTTCGACGAGAAGAGTGTCATAGCAGAAACCAGGCCTTTGATCCTTTCGGTCGCTGCGGATAGATCCTAAGGGATCCTCATTGATTGAGATGAGGAAGACTTCCGCGGTATCAAGCGCGTTGTGGATTTCTTGTTGATACACTTCCGCAGCCTCATAAGCAGGGATTGGAAGGGTCATATGGTTAGGCGGCACAAATGCCCAGGTAGAGTCGTTGGCGTTCCATAACCCCTTGTGCATGGTCTCGAATTTTAAAACCCGAGCTTGAACCCAAAGGAGTTGTTGAGATGTGGCGCCTCTCTGTTCGGCAATAGGCCTGCAGTCGGTGGCAGAAGACATGAAGACCTTCTCGAGTCCTGAGGAGACCTGCAGAATAAGTATTCGGCATTGGAATGTTGCGGAGGTTAGAAACAACGCTGCTCATTTTCTCGGCCGTCAATGGGATCACGTCGTTAAAGCCTGGAAGCCATCCAGGCTTCTCTTTCCTCGCAGAATTGAGGTGCTCAGTGAGACTCAAATTCTCGGCTCCAGTATTGTCCAGGAAATCTAAGAAGCCTATGATTTCATCTAACGTCCCCATCGCTCGATCAAAGCAGCTTAGATTTTTGTTCCCCGGAACGATGCCGAAGATCAAAATCGGATAACCAGCAATAAGGAGGTAGGAGTTTAGTAATAGGTCACCTATACTGCGACGAGAGCGAACGATCTGACGAGTATCAGAAGGCACCAGACGTTCAGTTCCGGTTTATTCGATGCATAGACTTAGCGAGCGAACAACTCTTGAAGTAATCAATTGGCCTGGCCCATCGGCAAGTAGCGTTCCAGTAATGGGATTAAACTCCTTCCAGTTCATATCGAGATGAATGCTTTGTAGGTTCCTAGTCAGTGCTGAACTGGACAATTAAGGCAAAGAGACGTACGCAATGACGGAAATATCAGAGAGGGTGGTCATGCACGAGGGTCGAACAATCTCAGCCGGCTGTAGTTCTTCGTCAACATGCAAATCTAACGGATGTCTGTGACAGAGTCCATTACCATGAAGTCCCGTGAGCGCCGCAGAATGCGCATACACACAACAACCGGGGTTCCCGACAAGTGCCTCGTCTGTGCTCCTCCTTCTCGTTGCACTTTCTGAACAGCAATAACGTCAAATGCCTTTTTCATGTCACCTTGCGCTATTCGGAGCCTCTTTAAAAGTGCAACCCAGCACACCTTCTCTCCAGACCCTTCTGAAATTTCTCTTCGAGCTATCCAATCATTAGCTTCCATTTTATGAAGTACGTCCATACATTTTGGGTGCTTTTCACGGATATGTAAACTATAACGTCGTTGTCTAATTTACTCAAGTGGTCCGCCATGGCCCAAGGGAGGAAAATATTAAGGCAATAGAATAATAATAGCCTAGAAACTGCCTCCTTAAAATATGGTCAAGTAAAAGATAGGACGAAAGATGCGCTTTAGGACCGAATAATGGAAGGAAGGAAAATACCCTCTACTTGGATTTGTGCATTGGTCTTCTCTTCCGCTACTGTTGGGTTCTTTCTGGACAGATTCAAAGTGTCCCAATCCATTTGAAAAGCGTGTGTTTCCGTCATGGCATGGTTGATATCCGTGGAATTGACGAATTCAATGGAGAAGCTAGGAACATAGTAAAGTGTCTCATAGCGAAGCTCTCTCCATCTCATTCTTTTCCGAGGGCGGTCAAGGCTGTGAGATCTATCGTCATACTGTCTTATTTTCTTCCCGAAATGAAATGTTCAGGCAAGGGGTACATCTACTCGGGTGAAGTTGCCTTTTAAATACTGTTCCCATACTAAGGGAGCGCGAATTGACGGGAGCAATAGAAATCGGGCGAGCCTGCTGCCTGCTGGTAACTTTTGAGGCGATGCACAGCCCCTTATGACGTGGTGTTCCTTGCTCCGGCAGTTAGACGTTAATACGGGGTGCATGAATTAGTCATCTCGTGGGTGTTATTGCGAATGAATGGGTCCTCAATGAAGTTAATTACGGCCTAATAGTAATAAACTACAGCGAAGTGTATTATTGCAATATGCTTTTCAAAGTGAAGTGGGCATGGAGCAATTGTTAGCAGTTCGAGATAAAACGTTGCATTTTCTATTTGCGGTTGGATATATTCAGTCTAGTAGTTAATTTTCTCGTGCACCTCTTACAAGCTTCCGCTCGAGCGGAACAACCTCTAAACCTGAGTACCTTCGCTCACCTACTTCTTCTCTAGCCATTTAGCAAAGGGGAAGCTCAACCACATCTGACAAATTAAGCGACACCGATACCCTACATAACCTCATCACATACTTCAACATTCCACTCACGAGGAGAGAAAGTGTTCAGCCATCGGAATTCAGCATCGCCGCCCCAACCACTTTTCCTTCTGGAGTTTCTTGAACTTCTACGTTGACTCTAGGCATGATGTCAGAATCAAATGCCGACTCCTCCAGAGCACCACCCCAAAATCCACAATCGCAGCATCCCAAAGACAAAGAAGAAGGCATCTCCTGCTACAAGCCCGACGGCTTCCACCCCGTTCGCATCAGCGAGATCTTCAATAACAGTTACATCGTCATACGCAAGCTGGGCCGGGGCCGCTGCTCGTCCATTTGGCTCGTCCAAGACTTTTTCACCTCGTTCGTTTCTCCATCCTCATCCTCACCCTACAAACCATCTTAAGGCCATACATAGCGCTGAAAAGAAATACGCCATGAAAGTGCTCGGCGCCGAGTGCTGCGGTACCGGGTCTGACAACTTCGAGCTCGAGATCCTGCAAGCTCCAACATTGGGGAGGCAGAGATCGAAATCACCCTGGCTACGAACACGTATCCATTCTCCACGACTTATTCACATATAAAGGTCCAAATGGCGACCATATATGTCTAATTTTCGATCTATGTTAGTGTGGATGGAGAATTTTCTTTTATATTCCCGACCGGTTTTATTTCTTCTGATGCACTCAATATCAGCGATTCAGGAACATCTTGGCGAGAAAATACTGACACCTATTATACCTAGGGGTGAGGATTTGAGTACATTCAGAGACTGGTTTGATGAAAGGAAGATACCAACGCCGTTGGTGCAGAAGTTTATGAGGCAGCTGCTTCAAGCATTGGAGTACGCGCATGAGAGAGGCGTGATACACACTGGTATATATATTGTCCCTACAGTCCCTAAACCTTTAGCCATTGACATGTGCTCCATCCATCCATCCAAACAGCATCATGGTCCATGTCCCGACGAGATAGCACTTAGTAATCCCCGTCTGGATGCAGCTCCACCGGAAATCATATTCTCGGAATCTGAAGCTTGCAAACATCTTCCGAACTCAATCTCTCAGAGATATCTACGTCAAAGAAGGATACAACCTGATGAATCTCAACATCGCGCTCTCGGACTGGGGCGTCGCCTCGTTCATCAACAGGCGCCTCACCGAGGAAATCCAACCCCTGCTCCTCCGTACGCCTGGAGTGTTGCTCAGCGCGCCTTGGTAAGTCCCCATTTCCCTTACCCTCTTTTGTGTCGGTTTCAGGATCTATAGCAATATTGAGCAGCTTCTGAGATATTCAACTCCTGGAAGTACTTGAACGAAATACTGTGTAATGCTGACTCCGATTTCTTGGTAATTAGGGACGAGAAAGTCGATATCTGGAATTTAGGCGCATTGGTTCCGGAATTGGTTTTTGGACAGAATATGTTTTCTGCTGAGGATAAGAAAGGAGTTTATAGCGTAGGGAGACATCTGGAGGAGATGGCTGCTTTGTGCTGACCGTCTCCGAAAAAGTCTACTGGAGAAGGGAGATCAAGGAGTGGTGAGCGAGGTGTTTGATGAGGAAGGAAATGTCAAAGTTAAAGAACTGGACAAGGTGGTGCGTTTGGAGAAGAGGTTCGAAGGTATGGATGTGAAAGAGAGGAGGAAGTTTGTAGCGTTCGTCGGGGGGATGTTGGTGCTTGATCCGGCACGACGGCCGAGTGCTAAGGAACTGCTAGGTGACGAGTGGTTGAAGCATAACTATGATGAGAGCTTTATCGAGGAGGAGTTGTAGATACCGTTAAGCAGCGGCGAGGCGAAACGCAACTTGGGTTTAGAAAACGTATTCTAACTGCAAGCAACCCAGCAATTGTAGGCCTAGATTGCTTCCACCCATGTCTTTTCTCGACGTAGTCGTACAGCGAATACTCCATAAATATGTGCCTTCCATCCAGTCGTTTGTCTCGTTGAACCCCCTTTCCCCTATCCCAAATTCCAATGCCCAAAGTCCCCGAAAACGCCTATCCGTGCCATATATCTCACCGACCGCTTCCATTCCCTACCCTCTCCATCAACATCAAACACTCCCCAAACTCTCCTCCGCCCTCCTACTTCCCTCAGCCAACTCCTCCCCCTGACTCCCCAGCCGCCGCCCCGCATCCCCCACATCCCCCACCACTCTCTCCGCCAGCTTCACCAACTCCTCAATCTCCGCCTTCTGCCTCCTCAAAACCTCAATCAAGTTCGCATTCTGACTCTGCGTCGTCTGAAGCCTAGCATTCAGCTGGCTTTGCTGACTCCTGTGTATTGGGTTCAGATGCGCGTTAACGAGTGGTTTCGGCGGTAATGTATGCGGCCTATCATTCCACCTAGCATTAGCACTCCCACCTTCAATCTCTCCCTCCCTCCCCTCTCCCTTCCGCTCAAGATGACTTACGGAACTGGTTGTTCATCTCCATCCGTCCCCGATGTAGACCTCGCCTTCCTCTTCTTCGCATCAGAAATCAAATCCTCAAGCCGATTCAAATTCTCCACGACCCTCCGTTCCTCCATAATCGTGTCGAATTCCGCTAGAGCGAAAGAGCGGAGGCCGGCTGTCATGCCGGTGTGCATGGCTGCGAGTTGCGTGGGCGCATTTGTCGAGATGGACGGGAAGCAGGCGCCGAAGGAGGAGGGGGAGATGGCTTCTAGGGTTTTGTCCAGCGCGGCCTTGTACAGGGTGACGAAGGCTTCGGCGCGATAGCCCGGTGTGAGTGCTGTTGGCGCAGAAGCGGGTGGGCTTGGAGACCTTTCAGTTTCTGGGGGTGTCGCGGACGGCATTGTGAAGTATGTTGATGGTGACGGCAGTTGTGCGAGAATTGGGCGTTGTGTGGTGGAATTGTGACGAGGTGGTATTGAATTGAGGTTTTGTTTACACGCGACGCGATTGTTTTGGCGAGGCTGAGAATTTTGTGTGGTTCTTCGCAGTACATTTCGGCTTTGCACTGCAATCTTATTAACGTGCATCCCTGCGTGCCGAGAAACCCTGCGTGCCTAGAAAAATGAGGGGTACTTTGACTTGGAAAATTTCAAACTTTGCGCATACTTTAATATTTACTATATTTCTGCATATGTTGTATTTTGTGGCCATTTGGGAGTACTCTAAGCCCCTTTTATTAGAATTTTATATTTATATCGCCGTCCTTGCGTCTGATTTGCAGACGGTCTCTATTTATAACGGAACGAAGTTTCTTTACAATAGTTCTACCATTAAGCTTTTATTACTTCTAATACTTATAAATGGTTATATCTAAGCTTTAAATCCTTATAGCTATATATAAGAATCGTTTATTAGTCTTTGCGGCTGCTATGGCACATAATTTATGCAGAATTGCCACGTGGATCGGTACTTCGGCTAAAATTACTAACGGTTTGTAGTGAGTACAGGAAAGCCCTGTCGGTAAAACTTTTACGTCTACGATAATTTTTACTTATATAATTACTTACAAAGCTTGTAGCCATTTAAAACTGTGGCTGACACGAAGTGGAATAGTATACGTGGGATATAGAACTCTGCAGCAATTGTGTTACAGTGACGCAACGTGTTATCCTGTCCACCAGTCCAACGCAAGAAGCTCAAGTACCATAACCTTATCTCGGCTTTTAAATTTATAGCATTGTTTGTTCTGGGGTTTCAAGCTCAACTACAGTGTTAAAAAGTTACTATTAGTATTGTAGCCGCCCTAGCGCCACAGGTTATGCACCGTCGCCAACTCCATCCATACTTTCTATTGGGTTGATTAAGGATCCCTATCTGTCGTTGTAGTATTCCATCCTATACTTACAACAACCAAGCTTTAATTTGTTTAGAGATTAAGGCAATTGAAAGGTTAAAGGCGGATTTTAAATACAGTTAGCTGCGTTTTATTTTTAATTATTTAGGTTTACTACTCTAATGTTGCGTAGATTTTTAGTTAGAACAGTGCTAGAGAGTTTAAACGTTAGAAGGGACTGAACAGGAGATAATAGAAGAAACGAGACGTTAGCTATTTGGGCACAAGCCGGTTTCCACCAAGCGCGCTGAGAGTTAAGGTGTCATTACTTTAGAATTAGGCCAAAAATTGTTAATTTGAAGGTTATGAGACCTCCTGAAAAGGAAAGCTTGGGCGTTCAAAAGGTAAATATTGGCGCTCGCGTGAATGGGAGCGCCAATATTCGTCTCCTAAATGCTTAGTAATTGGAGAGGGATAGAGAGGCAAAATTCTCTTTGCAACAAATGGCAAGTGTTAGCTATATTGTGTAACAGAACGCATTGTTGAAATTCAATGATTTAACAATACAAAGCTAATCTGTATGCAGGCTTTGGCGTGAGGAGCCTCGACGGTCATGGGCACGACGAGCAGTGCGACCGGCGAACACGGCCAGGACTGTCATAGCCATAGCAAAGCAAAGTTACTTTGTGCCATTTTCGAAGGCAGATCTTCAGCCGGCAAAGATCAGTCGATAATGCTATCGCAAATGGTTGTTTGCGCTGTAAAGCTTTATATTCACGCCCCCGGCGACTTTATCTACCAATTTCCAATCACAGGGCAGTCGTCCTTTCGGCAAGGCTGATCCATCAATTGAGTCGAACTTTTGCAGGAGCCTGACTGTGACATAGGCAATCTCAGCAAGGGCGAATTGTTGTCCGATACATATTCGAGGGCCAGCGTTGAATGGGAGGTAGTTGAATCCAAATTTGCGCCCCTCCCATCGTTCTGGATTGAAGCGGTCAGCATCAGGGCCCCAAAGTTCTGGGTCTGAGTGCATTGTCCAAAGCTATACGGAAGAGATGTCAGTACTAAGGAGAAGCCAGAGGCACAATAGTAATAACAAGACGCAAAGACGTACCTCCCAAGCAATAAGGTGACCTTTAGGTATAAATACTGGTGAAGTCCCATCGGAGCCACCACCTACGGGCAGTGTTGTGTCTCTAATGGCCTCACGGAAGTTGACCGGAACCGAAGGGTAGACTCGAAGAACTTCGTTCAAGCACCATTGAAGGTATGAACAGTTCTTGAGCCCGCTGAGCGTGATCTGCTTTGGTCGATCGAAGGATCCAAAGTCATCTATGATGATGTTGCGAAGCTTCTTGAAAATATGAGGATATTGTGCCAATGAGGCCAAAAGGAAGCCAAGAGTTCCCGAGATGGTGTCGCTGCCTGCCAGAAGGATGTTCAATAGCTGGGAGCGGAGCTCCTGCGGATCCTTCACGCCAGCGACAATAGCATCCAGAACGACGTCCTTTCCCGTCCCTGGCTTTTTATCCCAGCCACCATCCCTCAAATGGCGCTGGACATACGTATCGACGAAGTTATGAACAGCTTTACACTGTTCCTTGAATTTGCGATCGTGCGTTAGCCAGAACAGGTCGCCGTATATCAAAGATTTCGCCGTTGTCTTCTCTGCTCCGAAGAAGGCCTCTACGAACTGCATCATCTCCTTCTTAGAGAACAAAGTACTCGTATCTGTACTATCATCTTTCTGGCTGTATACGCTTTCGCCAAAGAGAAACTCTGTAGCAGTATCCATTGTAAAACGCTCCAATAACGGTTGCATATCGAAAGTCGAGGTCCAGTTACCAGGCTCCACGGCACCTGGGAGGGCATCAAAGAGATCTTTGACATGTGTTTCGAAGAGCCCCAGGTCAGCTATTTGTTCACGCATGAATTGCGGTCTTAGAAGAGCTCGAGAGTGTTCCCATTTAGGTCCGTTCGCTGAGAACTGTTGGAATTAGCTCTGCGTATGTTTTAAGTCGCAAAACGTACAATACCGAGACCCAGAAGCGCCTCGAACGCTCCCACTCTGGCCGCTGGCTGCTGAAAATCTTGAAACTGGGTCGCTAGCACAGCCTGCAGATTCTTCGGGTCGAAGGTGTAGAACCACGTCTCTCCCGGTGGATATTTTATTCGAAATGTTTTGCAGTCTCGTCCTATCTTTGCGCTCATTTCTTTCTTGCGATCTGAGAAGGCATAAGATAAGCGGTTTGTCTTCATTCCATTCATCTTAATCTTGAAATTCTGCACGCCAAATACATCCCAAGGCCGAAAGAGTGGCGCTGGTTGGCAACCGAAAGATTTTGCCTTCGCTGCCTGTCTTACGTGTGTAACTACACAGTAGATTGTGAAAATTGCTGCCACAGCCGGCGGCAAGAATAGTAGGAAGCCCATGTTGGAGAATGACTGAGATAACGGTCGATGTTCTAGGCTGGGCAACTTGCATATATAATGTCGATTCTGATACGCTAGACCAGCAGTTAACTTTAGCCGTTAAGGTCGTGCTTATCTCAGCTGATGCTGCCTAAGGCGAGGGTTACGTTTGGTTCGCAGGATTCGCCCTCAAATGGGGCAAAACCGAGCGTATCGTTTAGGGCCTATAGGGCTTTACGGATTAATAAGCGAATTTGGATATCGCACTTGCTATCTACCGCCAAAAATTGTCTTATTTTGCTACAATTAATATGAAAATTCATAATTTCTAATATCTGAGGTCTATTAAAAGTATAATCATTTATATATTAATTTCCTAATTTTCAATACTAATTCTAATAATATTATGGGAGATAGTATTATTGGTATGGCTGTTAATACCGGTAATATATATTTGCGCTAATGTAAGGCACGTAATAGCAGGGTGATGCACAAGTAGTCAAGGTAAGTAAGCTGCAGAGTGACGCTTGCAAGTGTAACTAATTCCAAGAATTGATTCCAATAAAAGACTAATTAATGCCCCTTTCCAAAGCTAGGAGCATCTTCCTATATGTTCCCTAGTGCTTAGCCAAGCCTGCGAAGCACTTTACTTAACTAGGAAACATGATCCCATGCAATCCATATGATTCCGATTACCCGTATAATTCCGATTACAAGCTTTACCTAAAATAGGAAACTAGATCTACGACATCTAATACCTGTCTATACGTTATTACGTATTGTGGTACGGCAGGCCGTACTCGTCGAAAATCGCATTGTTTTGGCGGTTTTGAGGTTTAGGTCACATGGTAAAGGCCGCGGCCTTTTATATATAACTTACGGAAATCATATAAGAAAGCTGGTTTTTCTATAGACTTAGAGAATAATCCTTTATAAGTATTTAATTAATTAAGCTTTTATATACTATATACTATTTATACTTTACTATTTACGCTTTTGATTTATTATTTTGCTATTAAGTTATATTTTATACTCTGGTATACTTTATATGGGTTTTTGTCTTATTATAGTTTCTCTCTTATATATTTTATAGTAAGTAATATAAGAAAGATAGAAACTTTATAGTTAAGGTAATATTCTTATAAAATTTTAAGGGATATTTATAAGGCAGATTATTAGCTTAGTAAGTTAGGAGAGAAAAGGGCTATTATAATACCTTAAGCCTAAGGCTAAAATATTAAGAATATATAAGTATTAATCTTAGTATCTTATATTAATTTCTAATATATCTAATAACTTGAATATGGGTTAGTTATAAGATATAGTTACTAATATAATATATAGAAATAGTAAAAATAGAGGCTAATTATAGAAGAAAAAGAAGTAAAGAAAATAAAATAAGAAATATTATACTAAGATAATATAAGTCAGATCTTAGTTAGAATTAGACTTTAGTACTCGGAAATAAAGTTATATTATTAATTTATATATTATTTTTAGTTATAATAAAAGCCGGAATTAAAGTAGTTTTAATCTTAGTAATAAAGCTTATTTCTAAGTCCGAAAAAGATATCTAAAAGAGAAAATACTCTTAAATTTAAATAAAATAATAAACTAGAATTAGAAATAAGAATTAAAAAGAAATTAGAAATA